GGGCTTGGGGGGTGCGCCCTCCACCTTGGTCGCCTCCTCCTCTCTCCCACTAAGGCCCAATAAGGCCCATTGACTCTCCGGGGTGTTCCGATAACCCCCCGGTACTCTGGTAAATGCCCGAACTCATCCGGAACCATTCCGATGTCCAAACATAGCCTTCCAATATATCGATATTTATGTCTCGACCATTTTGAGACTCCTCGTCATGTCCGTGATCACATCCGGGACTCCGAACTACCTTTGGTACATCAAAACACATAAACTCATAATACCGATCGTCATCGAACGTTAAGCGTGCGGACCCTACGGGTTCGAGAAGTATGTATACATGACCGAGACTCATCTTTGGTCAATAACTAGTAGCGGAACCTGGATGCTCATATTGGTTCCTACATATTCTACGAAGATCTTTATCGGTCAAACCGCATAACAACATAAGTTATTCCCTTTGTCATCGATATGTTACTTGCCCGAGATTCGATCGTCGGTATCATCATACCTAGTTCAATCTCGTTACCGGCAAGTCTCTTTAGTTGTTTCGTAATGCATCATCTCGTAACTAACTCATTAGTCACACTGCTTGCAAGGCTTGTAGTGATGTGCATTACCGAGAGAGCCCGGAGATACCTCTCCGACAATCGGAGTAACAAATCCTAATCTCGATCTATGCCAACTCAACAAACACCATCGGAGACACCTGTAGAGCATCTTTATAATCACCCAGTTACGTTGTGACATTTGATAGCACACTAAGTGTTCCTCCGGTATTCGGGAGTTGCATAATCTCATAGTCATAGGAACATGTATAAGTTATGAAGAAAGCAATAGCAACAAACTAAACGATCATAGTGCTAAGCTAACGGATGGGTCAAGTAAATCACATCATTCTCTAATGATGTGATCCCGTTCATCAAACGACAACTCTTGTCCATGGCTAGGAAACTTAACCATCTTTGATTAACGAGCTAGTCAAGTAGAGGCATACTAGTGACACTCTGTTTGTCTATGTATTCACACATGTACTAAGTTTCTGGTTAATACAATTCTAGCATGAATAATAAACATTTATCATGATATAAGGAAACATAAATAACAACTTTATTATTGCCTCTAGGGCATATTTCCTTCATATATAGGTGGGAGAGAGGGGAGGCAGCCAAGGGGCGCCCTAGGGTTGGCCGTCGCCCCCTAAGGGCCCTGCCTTGCCATGCACCCCCCCCCCTTCCATGTATGCATGAAGGGGAAGGAAAGAGTGGGGTGAGGGAAGGAAGTGGAATCCTAATCCACACTTTCCTTTCCCTTCCTCCATTTCCTTCTCCTCCTATAACCTTATAGGGCGCACCGGCCCCTTGTGGGCTGGTTTGTTCCTTCACAAGGCCCATATGGCCCATATGATTGCCGGGGGTACCCGAAACACCTTCCGGTGACCCGATAAGTACCTGATACCCTCTGAAACACTTCCGGTGTCCGAATACCATCGTCCTATATATCAATCTTTACCTTTCGACCATTTCGAGACTCCTCGTCGTGTCCGTGATCTCATCTGGTACTCCGAACAACATTCGGTCACCAAATCACATAACTCATATAATACTATATCGTGATCGAACGTTAAGCGTGCGGACCCTACGGGTTCGAGAACTATGTAGACATGACCGAGACACCTCTCCGGTCAATAACCAATAGCGGAACCTGGATGCTCGTATTGGCTCCTACATATTCTATGAAGATCTTTATCAGTCGAACCATTATGACAACATACGTTATTCCCTTTGTCATCGGTATGTTACTTGCCCGAGATTCGATCGTCAGTATCTACATACCTAGTTCAATCTAGTTGCCGGCAAGTCTCTTTACTCGTGCCGTAATACATCATCTTGTAACTAACTCATTAGTCACTTTTCTTGCAAGTCTTCTTATGATGTGTATTACCGAGAGGGCCCAGAGATACCTCTCCGATACTCAGAGTGACAAATCCTAATCTCGATCTATGCCAACCCAACAAACACCTTCGGAGATACCTGTAGAGTATCTTTATAATCACCCAGTTACGTTGTGATGTTTGATAGCACACAAGGCATTCCTTCGGTATCCCGGAGTTGCATAATCTCATAGTTGAAGGAATATGTATTTGACATGAAGAAAGCAATAGCAATAAAACTGAACAATCAATATGCTAAGCTAACTGATGGGTCTTGTCCATCACATCATTCTCCTAATGATGTGATCTCATTCATCAAATGACAACACATGTCTATGGTTAGGAAACTTAACCACCTTTGATTAACGAGCTAGTCTAGTAGAGGCTTACTAGGGACACCGTGTTTTGTCTATGCATCCACACATGTATCAAGTTTCCGGTTAATACAATTCTACCATGAATAATAAACATTTATCATGGTATAAGGAAATATAAAATAACAACTTTATTATTGCCTCTAGGGCATATTTCCTTCAAAATCCACAAGTCCCTTGATACCATTGCTTCTAATATGGTGGTCGCCTCTTTGGTGTGACATTGGTACACCATGTGTAAATCTTTGGGGCAGTTCTTCCATTGTCAATGCATGCAAACAATTTTTTTGACTATTTACTGTGAAGCAACAACTCCACTACATGCAATCAATTGAACCAAGTATACATGGAAAACCTCTTGCTGCTCCAATAGCCATCAACCTTCCTCTATATTGCATAGTTGGTTCTCTCAGATACTCCACTCCAAACACTTGCACCACGATGCAGTCAAATCTCAGTGGTATCAAGTCATGTGCTCTCCCCCATCCGGACTATCTTCACGACTGTATCAATGGTGGTACCTACAACAAGCATCCTTGGTGTAGCCATGCATTTCTGCAAAGGAAAGAACGAGAGTTTTCCGCAACAATCCTTCTTGATACTGAAGTAGGGATCATGTGCCTCCACTCTCTCCGTCACGCACAAGAATAATGGTTCGCGCATAGGGTGGCATCGACGAAAAAATGTTTCAGCGAATGTTGGTATGGGGTGAAAATAGTCCTTGTAAAGCAGCTTTGCGATCCTATCCCGGTTGTAAGCTCTCATCCCTTTGATCGAACCCTTGAAGTTCAGAATCTGCTCCATTTCCCCCTGGATGCTCATCATCATCTTATCATCTTCGTCGTTCGAATCTGAAGAATCAAAGAACTCCTTTTGAATTAATTCATCAATCTCCTTGTGTTGATACTCTTCATCTGACAAACCCTCCAAATCCATCGTTTCGCCTACAAAACAATCAAAAAAACTTCTCGAACAATTTTTTGCGCACATAGGGGGCAAGGCATACTATGAGAAGAGCCGGACGTAGCATGGCGGCGACGCTGATGGGAAGGAGTTTTATGGTTGTGGGGGCGGCGCTGAGTGGTCGGGATGGCAGTGGAGCTAGGAGAAGGCCAGCGCGGACGAGGAAGAAGAGAGGGGGGGAAAAGGACCAGTCCGACTAGGTTGGGGGAGGAGGAGAATTTGATGAAATTTTTGGTGAGCCCTTTCTGTCAGATCTTACGTGGTGGATGCATCCAGGCCTTCCCATATTTTCCCTAGATATGGCTGGATATGGGAGTGCTGGTCAGCCTGGACCTCCCATATTTGGTCTAGATATGGGCTGGATATGGAAGTGTTGGTCAGTCTGGACATATAGGGCTGGTTTGAGGATATCGGTTGAGTTGTAATTTTATGACAGGTCATTGACCAGACCGTTCGTCTGGACGTATCGCGGGGCATTTGAGGAGCCTGGTTGTAGATGCTCTTACATTACAAGGTCCCTTTGAGGAGGTGTGCGGCCTCTCCCCTCTAATTGAAAATCTACTGGTTATCTATGTGGTTTGTGAATAAGAGTCATTTTGACGAAGGATAAACTGCAAAGCGTAGTTGGGAAGGTAGTAGACGATGTTGCTTTTGTGATCACGACGAAACAATAGAACATGTGTTTCTCCTTTGCCCACTTGCAAAGTTACTATGGCGGATCATTCACGTATCCTTTAATGTTGCTCCGCCCGTCTCGGATACACATTTATTTGGGACTTGGTTAACCGGGATTAAGCCTAAAACTACGGCACATATTTGAGTAGGAGTGTGTGCGTTACTTTGAGCCATTTGAAATTGTCGGAATGATGTTGTCTTTAACAGACAAACCATCACAAAAAATTTGCAAGTTATCTTCAAGGCGTCAGCTTGGATACCTACATGGTCCTTATTCAGCCATGTGGACCACATGGAGCTTTATGGATATTGGGTTGCAACCGATGAAAGATGGTTGCACGATATATATATATATATATATATATATATATATATATATATATATATATATATATATATATATAACCAGTTTGGATGGCGGTCCAACAATAGAATAGTTGTTTAGTCATCTTTATCTGTTTTCGCCTCACCGGTTGTGGCATATCATTTTGTTCTTTCTTTGAGGTCCGTAAGACTCTTTGAGACCTTGTTTTGAACTTGGACGTTTAATCATATGGCTGTGTGCATCAAGAGATGCAGAGGCCGGCCGGGGGTATTCCTCCTTTTTGAAAGAAAAAAAAAATCTGAGCTACGAACACACAAGTTATCTCCTAGCAAAGAAGAAAAAACGCAAGTCATCTCAGCTTCACCAATATACTCTAACAATAACAAACTAAATGCGCAGTACAGATGTTAAAAGAAATTGAGTGCACAGTGCCAACACCCAACAAAGTTGAAGTTCTGGCTTTAGCTAAATGTTCAAAGATGAAAGATGTGGTTCAATAATGCACATCACCTGACCACAATATCCCAAAGCCGTTGCCAATTGTGGTCAAAGGAAAATACTGAAGAAAAAAAGTTTTGATCCCGAACCTCGCGGCATGTATATGCTACTGTACTGTGGTGTCAACTGGACCGAGTAGAAATGACAATCTGAAAGATACAGAAACGACTGACACGGGCATAAGATCAACACGCTCATTTGCAGCGGTGTAGCACGCGAGATGAGCAACACAACATTTATCTTCTCACTTAATCAGCAAAACTACGAACCCTACCAGCGAAACAATCATCCAGCTGAATGGCTGGACCGAAGGAGCCCAGTTGGAGCCCGGGGGAGCAGGGGAGTAGTCGCCGGAGTCGGTGCTGGTGCTGAGCACGACGACCACCCAGTCCCCCTCGTTGGCGATCCCGACGCCGGAGTACTTGGTGTCGTTGAGGAACCGGTTGTACTGTGACTTGGTGTAGTTGGTCAGCACAACGTCGGCCACGAGTCCGGGCACGCATGCCGGCATCACCTGCCCGTCCTCGGTCACCGACGCGTTGAGGTGGCAGCGGTCGAGGAACTGGGGGTAGTCGGGGAACTGCGGCTCGGTGCCGGGGACGGTGTTGGCTCCGGTGGTGTTGGTGCACTCCTGGCCCTTGAACTTCTTCGCTAGCTGCTCGGCCAGGCAGTCGGCATTGCTGTTCTCGGTGAGCGCCGGGACCTTGAGTGAAGCTCTGTAGCTGTTGATCCCCTTGAGGAGCTGGTTGTCCTCCCCTGAAAACAGTAACCAGTATTAAGGAAGCAGTTTAATTACACGGTGACTTTTTTTCCCGATAAAGGGCGTTTTATTAGCTCGGAATGAAGCATCGAGGGGATACAAACACAATGAGCACACAATCGGCCTCTGCACGACTAGGATGTGCACATCAAACATGAACGCGCCCACACAAAGGATCGCGCAGGCAACAAGGTGATAGGCTGCAGCATCAAAACAATGGGTGCAGAGTTCTCTTCATTTTGTGGCTAAAGCAACTATTTTGTGAGTGAGTACCCAGATTTCTACGAAGCAAAAGCACTCCCAAGTTTTTTTATTGCTGAATAACTCTTCCAGTATAAGTTACTACGGAGTAGATCATAGTACTACCTCTGTACCAAAATGTAGGGCGTTTTTTTGGTTTTGCACGGGGCATAAAAAACGGCTTACACATTTTGTTACGGAGGGAGTACCAATTAAGCGTTGTGTTCACCAACTCAAACAGCGAGCCGTTCATTTGTGGCCACGACCGTGCCCTGCAACAGAACATGAGCACCAGCAACCGAACACGAGCACCAGTAACCAGCTGGAGCGAACAGAAGAACACTGCAATTGCTCACCAACGAGACCTGACCATCAGATCATGCATGCTGAATCTTATCTGTGCTGCAACAATTTGACTAATTATCGTGTCTAAATGGAAGCTAAAACAGAGTAAGAGATCTTGGAAGACCCGATCTCAGACGATAGGCAACGGTAGGCAACCCACTAGAACCGCTTAGTGACATCCAAGAACTCGGCACATCGGTAGGCAACGGCAAGCTAAGTAGAATTCAGGAATTAGGATGCTATGTACCACTGAAAATGAAATTCAGACGAACATCCTCGCCTGGAGCAGGTTCCTAGTCCATACGCCTACACTATGCCCATCCTCCTAAGCGGTTAGATTACAAGAACCACCGCGCGGATCAGATCCGGCCGAAGAGCTGAACCGAATCACAAATGCAGCAGCGAGCGAAAGAAAAGAAGAGCAGCGCCTGCTCTTACCGTCAGATCTGGCGGGGTGCAGGAGGGAGGAGGCGACGGCCAGGAAGCAGAAGAGGGCGGCCCTGGAACTGGAATCCATTTGCCCCGACAATCCACCGAGCTCCACCGCTGCGCGCACCCTCCGACGGGTAGGGTGGCGGGTATATAGGGGGGAGTGAGGAGGAAGGAAGGAAGGAGGCGAGCTGCTGCTGTCTGCGGCCAACCACTGCCACTGCACTTGCTTACTCCTCTGTCCTAAAAGGTAAAAGCGGCGCTGTTGTTAACGGAAGTGTTCTTCTGCCGGCGTTAAAATGGTTTACCTGCCGTCGCTTTCTTGGTAGGAAAAGAGATCCCTAACTAACACTGTCGGTGCGCTACTAATAAAAGGCGCCCGGCAACGTGCGCGGTAGTGGCAGATTGATTACGTGAAGCAAACGAATTAAGAAAGCGGCGCACCGCGGGTTTTCCATTGAGTTGGTACCACCGGACCGGACCGACGCCGGGACGGGCGGACAGCTCAACGTCAGGGCGTCGGTGTTGCTTTCTCCTTTTCTTCCTACCAAATCCATCCGATGTTTCGAGAGGTTCGGGTCTATTTCAAACCGTCGATTTGAAATATGATGAGGATTCGAGTCGTGATTATCTTTATAAAATGAACGTGAATGCATACTTCATGAAAGATGGAAGCGGAGCCACGGCAGCGCTTCTTTGAAACCACTGGGGTGAGGCTCTTGCTGGGTCAACAACATGTGCTTGATGCCGCTGCAACAGAAGCTTTGGCATTGAAGAATGGTATGGAGCTAGTGCACTAGTAGAAAACTAATCTTTCATCCGAAGCACTAGTTCCGGTCGGGTTTGGGCCCGGGACTAATATGAGTATTAGTCCCGATTCCAACGGCTATGAGTGGACGGGGGCCCGGTCAGGATTAGTCATGTTGCTCGTCATGTCGCCATACCTAGCACCCCCCTACGTCGAAGGCTCGAGACCACTTCTCCTTCAAAGGAAGGTGTGTCTGTATGAACTCCGAGCCATCATTGAACACAAACTTTAAGAGGTGATTCAGCCTTTGCTGGAACATGAAAGGCTCAAATTCACAGCACACGAGCTTCAATGCGTCAGTGCAGTCTTTGTTCTTTACCCTGGAGTAGAAGTTCTGTATGAAATGCCTCATGCACCATCTGTGAATCACATTCGGATAACCTTCTAATTGCACGCACATGGCGTTGATGATACCAGGGTGCCGGTCAGATATGATGCATGGTGACCTGTCAGCGCCCAGAACGTGCACCCGGAGAAGAGTTAGAAACCATTCCCAGTTGGAATTGTCTTCCCGTTCGACGAGACCGAAAGCAAGGGGCACGAGCTGATTGTCGGCATCACAGGTTATGGCCACCAGAAGCACGCCTCGGACCTTGCCGGACAAAAACATTCCGTCAACAGAAAGAACTGGCTTGCAGTGACGGTACTCCTCTATGGACGCCTCGAAGGCCCAGAATGACCTCCTAAACACGGTGAATCTCCTGTCCCACCCCTCCGAGGTCTTGTCTGGGTATCCCTCCACCTCGTACACCATTCCTGGATTGCGGGCTTTCATCGCCTGAAGTTGTTTTGGGAGCAGACCGTACGACTCCTCCCAGTCACCGTATACCATCTTTAGAGCCAGCTGCTTGGCCCTCCAGGCCTTTCCATACTTGACATTGTACTCAAATATCATGTTTATGTAATCATGAAGCTGTGACGCGGACTGTGTCGGCTGCTTGGCGATGGCATGTTTCAGACGCTGGCCGATGAAGCTGGACGCCAGCTGCCGGTGATGACCTTCTATGCGGTCTCTCCCGCATTTGTGCGATCCTACGCAGCTAACGATCTTCCATCGATCGTCAGGGTTGCGCTTCCTGGCACACACCTTCCAGGGATAGCCTTGCTCCCTGTTCTCACACCACACCACGAATTGCTCTTTTTTGTCTGACTTTCAGACTATGTAAGGCCGATAGTGTTGCACTGCATACTCCTGTAGCATATCTTCATGTCTAGCATTGAGCTGAACACAAGCCCTGGATATATTGAAGGCTTGGACCTTGGACTTATCTTCTCTTCTTCCAATGTCTGAGGCCTTGGCACCGCCACTGCCTCCGGAACGACCGAGGGCATGTGCCGGTGTCATATCTTTCCTTCCATCCTTACTACAGAACTTCCATCGACATCCATCACTTGCCTCACCTTATCAGCAAGTTCAACCAGAGTTGGATCCTTTGGAAAACATAACACATGGCTTTGGGTGTTCACAAACTCCACACCGGTGCTGCCAGATTGGATGTTAAGAACACCGCCATGATGTAAATGGACTACGCTACGATACACCATCCTACATAAAAAGGCAATATAGCCAACATTAACCCAGAAACAGGTTCCGCATACAAGAAACTATTCCCACTTGCTAGCACCCTCCTATTACCTAATGAACAACTGATATACATGCTCTAAGGTTGATTCGTAACAAGATTACCTAATGGTTTGCCCAGATCTGGAAGCTTCTGTGTCGTCTCCACCGTCGGACTATCCGACCACCGTGGATTTGGGGTTGGGGTCGAGGTTGGTAACAGTGGCCTTAAGGGAAGAGGGGCCTGCCGCCGGCAGCAAGCTTCCAATGGGTCGTCGCTTCCGTGGGGAACACCCGGAGGAGCCGACGAGGTTGGGTGAACCGCGAGTGTGGCTCTGTGGAGGGGACGACTTGGTTTCGGGGGGAGGGGGGAGCGGAGCTCAAATGGACAAATTCCAAGGAGCCCTAGAAGGGACACGTCACCCGACGGCATGACCAGCCTATCTGACAATGACACGCCTAACTCTAAGACGGCACCATAAACGGCCTGACACGAAGTTCGTGGGCGGTTCATGGCACTATAGTGTCAAGTTAAAAGGCGAGGTTGCGGTGTTATGCTACGCCATATGCAAGGGCGTACTTACAACGTCCAGATGCCAAAAAGGAAGGCGTCATGGACTGGACACGCCATATTGGTTGACGTATTCATATTCATGTGCAGACACCTACCACTTAGGCGTTTCATCCTTACATAAGAACATCTTATAAGTGTAACGCCTTACAATGTGGCGCGTCAGGCCGATGCCACGCTGGTGGCGTGACCGACAACCGGGGCCAGTCAAAGGCACCTTGGCGTGCGGCGCCA